TAAATTAAAATTTCCACACTTTGAACATCATAATTCACATCTACATAGTATAGTATTATATTATATTTTAATCTTTTTTAATTAACAAATTTTAGTCATTTGAAACAATGAGTTTATCAAAAGTGCAAATATAATTGCTTGAGTTTACTATCAAGAGCTTGAGCTAAAGGAAATTTGTTAAGTAAAATTTATATTTTTTTTTATTGTGTTAAATTCTAGTACATATATGTGTTTTAGTTGATTTTGTGCAAGAATATCTCAGGAAATGAGCAAAAATTATAAAGTTAAGAACCAACACCACAGTGCCAAACTATCAGCACTGCGACATCTTCAACACCCTGCACCAAACCAAGATATTGTAATGTCGGATCCTTAGAAAAATTTTATTTGATTCACTGCCTAAACAAAATGAAGGTCAACGTTATAGTGCTGCAGTTTCGTAAATGAACATTGCAGTGCTAGAGTCTTGGAAAATATTATAAATAATTTAATGCTAAAGTGCCATAATGTCGAATAGCATAAAAAAGCGCAGTATAACTCATCTTTTTTAGCATCGCAATAAAGCAATTAGAGAAAAGAAGAGTCATGACAGATCAGTTAAGCATCACATTGGATCAGTCAACAAATACTCCAAGTTAACCTAGAGTCATAGCATAGCACATTTAGTAGTGCCAAGGCACTAGTTCATATTGTAACATCGCGATGCTACCTTATCAAGTGACATAGTGCCTTAGTCTATTTATATTAAGTATAAATAGTTTATTTTAGTTTCTTTGTAAGAGAGAAACCAAAGGATAGTGAGTGACATATAATGGAGCGACTGTTCATCTTTGTAGAGAGAAAATCACACTTAGGAGTGGAAAGGAGTGTGAAAAGTAAAGGTGTAAGTGGAGAATCACTCCAAGAAGAGTCCATCTATAGGATTTTTTTTTAGATTCTTTATTATGATTATTTTCTGTCTTTTCTAATTGTACTCTTTTTTAAGCAAGTAATGAAAAGTGCTTTGTTTAATTTTTTTTTATGGGAAGCTAAACTTTAATTTTAGACTCATGACATGAAAATCTATATAAATCCTAATTTAGACTCTTGAATTTAAATATGAATTATTATTTTCAATATCTCCCGTGTTTAATTAAATTTATGCAATGACCATGTATAAATTTAAAATCTAGTGTAATATGTTGTATTGATGGAGGAGTAATGGAATAATTAGGAGTATTGAAATTGAATGTTTTCATATCTTGACATAGGATGATTAGGATTCTAGGATCTATAGAGATATAATAACTATAGAGAAATCATAAACCTTTTTTTACACGTTTACAAGCTCGATGGAGATCTAAAAGTGCATAAGATTTGATTCACAACTATTGTAGGCGAGTTTACTTGGGAGAACATAGATTCATTCACCATCATTTGTCCAAAACATCTTTATTTTTAGTTATCTTCACCATTTTCTACATTTATTAGTAATTTTAGTTATTATCCATTTTTGTTGAATATGATAATTTTAGTAGTTTTAGTTGACAGTACTATAGTCAATTATGGCTCATAAAATTTCTCGTGGGTTGACACTCTTCTCATAGCACTTTATTACTTGATTAATACGTGCACTTACATAGTTGGGAGCATTTAGCATTTGAATGTATAATGGTAAGCAATTTCATTAGTATATAATTTTTTCACCAATAAAGCATTAATTCTTCCGCACGCAAAATATAAACCGTTCATCATGCATCACAATTGTAAATGAGTTGCCAAATTCTATATAAGAATATTTACTTTACTGCCACGAAGTTGATGAAATTGGTGATAATCCTAAATGTTGGTGGTAACACTCTTAGCTTGAGGATGTTGAACATATTAATCACTAACTCTATCATTTATACTCTCTCCTCAAAGATTAGTAAGAGAATCACACCATCCATTGGATTTCTTCTAAGTTTATTCTTAAACATGTTGGTAATTCTCTCAACTATACTCTATCTCTAGCTGCATTATTTGGTATCATTTGCTTATCTTGAACCTAGGAACAACTCATCTATTTATGATCATATACATTCAATTTTTGTATCCACATTTGATAATATCTAACGAGAACTTTATCTTAATGTTTAATTTTTTTTCATTCAACCTTGTCAAAGATGTAGTGAATGGAGAAAAAATATATGCATATATCTCACATTGCTATATTATCTTCTAAATTATATAAACATCTAAATATTACTAGATTACCTTCTAAATAAGCATATTGTAAGTTACATAATATTACTACTTGGTCTACTTTATTGCATTTGTTTACCTACTTAAGGTCATTACATATTATTTCCATATAGTACAAGTCTCATAATTTATCATGCATATTCAAGAAATCATATGTCACTTTAACATATTGTAATGCATATTCCTTGGGGTATTTCAAGAGCTATATCAAGTGAGATAGGTTGGCAAGTCATGATAATTTGTGAAGGGAGAAGTTAAAGTGCTAATGGTTTGAGTCTCTATTAAAGGGCCAAGAAGGGTTTCTATTTTTTATAATTATGCATTGAAGTAATCCAAATGTTATTGAGGGTCGACGGAGCATGTGTAGCCCTTATATGAAATTTGTTAAAAAGTTAAGTGGTGGCCATATAAACTAGGAATTATTTTGTTTCAATTCTTTGCCTAGTGCCTATGTCAAAACTTATAAAATCATTATATGACACTTTTAATACTATGATAAATATGAATGAGAAAAGAGCATGAAAGTAAAATTAGCATTTTGATTTAGTGAAGTAAAATCATTATATGACAAAAATTGATATCTGAGTAAAGAGCATGAAAGAACATAGTGATGGAATCATAATTAGATTCATAAATGAAGTTAATAATGAAATTGATGTTGAATATGACAATAATAGGACTAGAAGTTGATCTAGCTTGGGTGCGATCAATCTAGTTGGGTTGAGATTATTCTAGCATTACATACTCTTCATATGACTAATATTATGAAATAAATTTATGATTATATAATGTAAAAATGCTAGTTATGTCTATTATCATATCTTAAGAATTTTATAATCCAAAACCTTTAGCTCTTGATATGCAACATGCAAATATGATTCTAATACTAACTCTTCGAATGGTCAAATCATGAATAAAACTCAAGCAAGTGTTGTAGTTGATTTGCTTGCAAATATTGTTAAAAGAGGGTTAAAGTTGTTGATGATGACAATTAAGAGAACTCATTTGAAAGGATGAAGAGAGAGAAAGAGAGAGAGAGAGAGAGAGAGAGAAAGAGAGAGATGAAATTAAAAATTATGTTTAAAATAAACAATACAATTATAGCAAATTATATATGAAAAAAGACATTCCCAAAAAGATGCTTTTCCTCAATATATTTGAATTTGATTCCTAGTCGACTCTCTTAGTTACTGTAAATAATCTATGAGATTAGATGGAACAACCATTTTGAGGATTTGATGAAACTTACTTCCCGATGAATATTTCCTATCAAGATAAACTTTAAAGTTTTCGTTTCAGCTTTCTAATTTCTTTCTAATTTATTAACATCTTATTAGTGAATTTGCTCTGTGATTTAATGAAATCTCTTATTTTTTTCATTTTAATTATAGCAGTTTATGTTGTATTATTGCAAGTTTTTTTTTTTTACTTTTTTATTACATGGTTTAATTGGTGCTAATTTAATTAATGTCAAATAGAAAAATATTAATTTCAATAAATAAACTGCTTGTTGATTTAACTTCTAAAATTATTTATTAATATTAGAAGCCACATAATTATTTACTTTTTAAGCTCATTTCCGTATTCATGCGATTAATGTAAGCACATCAACTACAAGCTAAGCTCCATTATTAAAAAAAATTTAAAAAGCAAAGTATAAACATACACATAAAAGCTCAGCAGAGCTTTAGCCGAAGCCAAATCTAATTCATGGCGTACTCTGCTCAGCTCAAATCGATTAGAGCACTATGTTCGATGCCTTCAAAAGAGGTGAAAAATTCACTTGAATTCTTAGAGTAACCCTGCGGATATTAGCATACAAAATGTTAGATAGCAGCAGAGACAATCACAAAACTACATAATTTCATCCTAAAGTTTATACAAAATATAGCTTCACAGTTACCAAACTTCGCCTAGTTCATGCAAGTTTTCATACCATATTTATGTATCAACTAATCCTCAAAAATGTTCCATGTCACCGAAGTAATATCAGTGAATCATCAGAAAATAAAATTAGAACAGAGGAACAGAACTAATAGATAAAAGAAATCAATGGAAACAAATATGAGAGTATGAAAGGATATTCTAAGAAGAGCTCGAAATATTGAAGCAAAAGAAAGGCAGCTGGTTGTAGTAAAAATATACCGTCTCAAATATCGTTGAAAATTTGGCTTTATTTGAGACGGTTTTTTTACTATTTTATAAAGCTATTTTTTAATACAAATTCTCTTGAAAATAGAAAAAAAAAAAAGTGTTGTAAAACTGTCCCAAACAAAGCCTTAATTTGGACCCTCAAAATTTTTATTGGCTTGTTTGAATTCTCTCAAATATCGTTGAAAATTTGGCTTTATTTGAGACGGTTTTTTTACTATTTTATAAAGCTATTTTTTAATACAAATTCTCTTGAAAATAGAAAAAAAAAAAAACAGTGTTGTAAAACTGTCCCAAACAAAACCTTAATTTGGATCCTTAAAATTTTAATTGGCTTGTTTGAACTCTGGCAAGCTTCTTTTTTGTAAATGGACCAGAGCTTTTAAAGTAACTAGGCCTCAAAAAAATGTACATCCAATAGATGTATATTCTTCCTTTTTTAATAAAATATGCCACATTTCTCTCCTCCTACTACGGAACTTATTCAATGCACATAGGAAATAATGCACCTGACATTTTCAAGAAGAGTATGACGGTGTATATTTCTGCAACATATACATTGCTTTGAAACATTTTTTCCTTACAAATACGAAGCCAAAATACTTTAACGGAAAAGCAAAATATACTTGACCGTAATATTAGTTTAGACCTGATTGCATACTTTCGCTTAGGAATAACCTAAAGCCATTTGTTTGTCAAAAGGCTTAAAAATATGTTGCATCCACAATACAACTCCTACAGTTCAACCATGGGAAATTCTATAAGTATACAACATTAATTGACATACCTAAACATCATCTCTCGGCCTTTTCCTCGAACCAGAACGTACACGAGGGCTTTCACTTCTTCTCCAGGCAAGTCTGCTTTGTTGATCATTTCCAGTGCGTATGAAAGCCAGATGCTGCAGTTTTTAAAGGAGTAAAAATTTTTAACAGTTGATAAAGCAACACTAAAATATAAAGAACCAAATGACCAAAAGTAAGATAACAAACTGAGGCTCCGTTTGGGACGGCTTTCTTGTTGCTTTTTAAAATAGCTTTTTAGTACAAAAATTTAAATTTTTGTATTAGAAAGCAGCTTTAAGAAGCACCAAGAAAGCCGTCCCAAATGAAACTTGAATAACACCTGTCTTGCTCGCTTATCAATCGGTGTCCATGTCGGAATTATTAAGGCTGAGTCCTTCTGATCCAGATCCCGCAGACTTGGTTGTGCCCGGGTTAAGTTCTTTCGCTTATTTACTGCTCCCTTTACTTGTTTATTACCTCCTTGGTACCTGAAGCTGTCGATAATTGACGGGCTTTTTTTCTGAAAAGCAGCTTTTCTTTTCAAATACCCCGGATAATTTTGGCGCGTGTTGCTTAAAAACTGTTGATGCATTCTAGTTTTCTCATTTGCTTTTCCAAGAGATTCAATAATGCCTTTTTGTCTACATTGTTGTTGAGAAGGCTGACCTACATTTAAGCGAAGCAATTCACCAAGAGATGGAAGTCTATTTGGCTTGTTAAGCAGTCCAAGGGTATCCGTTTGATTCTGATGTAAGAACTCATTACTTTTAATAGGCAATTCTTTGTTAAAGAATGGGCTTTTAATTTCGCAGGATTCTATCTCGGAGCCATTTTTTTTGTAAAAATTAGTCGAATCATTTTCGGAATAGTTGATTTCTGCAGCAGTCGGAAATGTACAGGTATGGCCATCCAATAATCTGCTAGAAGAAAGAAAGTTCTCAACGATTGGTTCACATCTCAAGTCTGATCTCCCTGGATTATATCTGCTTCTTGGGATTGAGGAACATGGCTCATCTAAGAAGCTAAATTTGTAATCAAAAACATCATTGTGGAATTTCTCATGTGGATCGCTGTGTCTGACAGAAGTATTCCCACCAATACTGCTCATCTTAGAATTGTTTGCTTCATGTTTTCCGTCCACCATATTTGTGTTGCTGAAAAATCGAGTCTTCTCTGGTAAATCATGAAACCTGATATTCTTGGATTGGTACGGTTGGGACGCCTGAGGGATCACACTGCTTCTATAGTTCAACTCATTTGGTTCAACATAAAAGGATTCATCCACAAGCAAGCGAGGTGTGCCATAACGTAATGCAGAAATTTGTTTTTTTCTTTTGGATTGTAGCGTGCCGCTACTATTATCTGAATCAATGGACGAACAATCTGTCATCACAGATTTGGATTCTCCCAACTCCCCATATCTGCATAAAGCATTGAAAAGAGAAATGCTTTCCGCAGGCACCTTATACTTACCGATAGCCTGAATTCTGCGTTCATGTGACCATTGGAAAAACTCAACAAGCATGCCACCGGAAGAAAGTATTGCATGCGCTGAGAGTGGATTCAAAGAAGGGAACCTTGTAAAAAATGATTCAGCAAGACATTCTGATTCCGGCATTGCTGAGTAAAGACCTCCATCTTTTGATCTAGTCGTCCTGATACAGTTCAGAATAATGTCATCAGTGGTTTCAGCCATATGTGAACAGAACAATTGTAAGTTCAAGTCAAGACTTGCTGCAGCTGCATAAAGCATGTCCGATGATTCCATGATGGATGCAAGGAAGTTTCTTTCTCCCTCAAAGATCTGAAAAATAAATAAATAAATCTTGTAAAAGTCCGAGATTTATGTCAAGGCCAGGTTGAAAAAGCTATAGATTATTACAATGTTTGCCTCAAGTTATAAAAACACTAGATATAAGATTTCTTTAGAGACTGAAGAAGCTACTGAATCATAGACATGATAAGTTTCTTACCTCAATGCTAAGCACCACCTAGCTTTAGATTGTGATGGATAACTTCTGATGTTAATGGCAAAAGCTAAAATATAGGAAGATTTTATATATGTTTTTTTAGAATTTCTACTCTGAATTTTTTTTTTAGTTCTAGAACTAATCTTCATGTCAAAACAACCATGACATTGCACATATTTCATAAAGTTTCATGGCTCTCCCTGAATGCACTTTCCTATTACTGTCTACATTCCAGGTAGAAATTCAAGCAAATTATATACAACAACATCAAGGCTTTATCCTACTACATAGGGTTAGCTACATGAATCATTTTTCTCCATTCTGCCATATTAAGACTCAAAATCTCATACAAATCTAATAAAAAAAATATCATTTCTAATACTTTATAAGCAAGTCCTTTTAGGACTACCTCTAACTTTCTTAAAATGGGCCAAATGTAATACATCGACTCTCCTAACCGGGTCATTGGAAGGTCAGCGTTTTATGTGGTCAACCCATATCTAAGGCTTCTCTCACTGATCTTATCTGCCACTAGAGCTACTCCAACCTTTTCATGTATATGCTCATTTCGCATTTTGTCTCTAAGAGTAAAGCCACTCATCCACCTGAGCATCCTCATCTTTGCAACACAACTTAATTTTATGCTTCTCTTCTAACGTCCAACTTTTTGCAGTATAAAGCATTGCAAGTCTCATCACCATCTTATAAAATTTTACCTTATGTTTAAGGGGAATTTTTCTATCACATAGCAGGCTCGATGCATTTCTCCACTTCAACCATCCAACATGAATTCTATTAATAATATCTCCATCTAATTCACCATCACTTTAAACCAATGTTTAAAATTGTGTATTCGGGTATTGAGGCGTATTTCATTCGTCGTAAGCCTCAAGGCGTTTTGAGGCGTAAGCCTCAAAATGAAAAGATTGCGTAAACATAAAATGATAAATTTTTTATATACTAATGAATGAATAATATAAAACATATAAAACATAAGATATGAAGTGAAATCAAAATATTTCAATAATAAGACAACATGAAATATAGTTCAACTCAAAATTCTATCTTTCCCAAATCCTAGTATTCTTTTCATTAACATATAATTCCAATTTCAAAAAATAAATGGCAATCCCATATCACTTAAAAACTCATAAATCATCAGCTCTGTCATCACTAAGGGGTTCTTAATCATCATTATGGTGAACTACTCTCTCCCCTTCCTCCTCTCCTATAGAGTCCAATGTCGGGCATTTACTTCAAGATTTATGTAAGTTTTAATATATATAGCGTGAGGCGTAGCCTCATGCCAGTGAGGCGAGGCGGGACTCAAGGCGAGCCTCAACCAAGTTGAGGCGCAAGCCTCATAATAAAAACTCGAGGCGTAAGCATCGAGGCGTTTTTACTGGAATTGCGCAAAGGCGGGCCTCAAGGCGAGCTTCATATTGCGCAATTTTAAACCATGCTTTAAACTATAGCACGATATATCTAAAACGTACTCTTTTTCATGAATTGATAGCCCAAAGTCACGGTCCCCCCACTAGATCTATTACAACTAAAATTATACTCCATATATACAATTTTAGATCTACTCAAACAAAAACCTTTAGACTTTTAAGTTGATTGGGGCTCCAAAAGTTTGCACCCCGGCCTCTCCGTGACCCTTTTTTTCTTTTTCGGGTCGTTGAGGAGAGTTTTAACATTCAAGTTATGAGGCAAATTTTCAAAAGGTAGATTGGGTTTTAAATAAGACATTAACCAGAGATTTTGCCCTCATTTTTCAAGGACTTTATGATCTAAGTTCAGGTTTCCTACAAGCGCAACCTCCTATATTTCATTACTCCTCCCGATAATGAGATAGAACTTTTGATTAAGGCTAGTCATCAAACAGATACATAGTATCCAACGCATAATAATAGCATATTTAGGTATTTAAAATTTAAAAGTAGAAATTCACAACCATACACTTAAAGTGGATGGTGGGAGGAATCATGATGACCTAATCAAGATCTCATGATTTTGTCATCCCCGATCATCTTGGTCTATGGTTTACTTAGTTAGAGGATATAGTCCACCCAACCTAACAGAAGGATCTTTGTCGACAAGCATGAGTTGTTTTGTCTAAGGGTACCTTGTAGACTTAGGGTTAATATTTGTCTAAGGGAAAAAATTTGAATCCATCATAGCTAACAGAGGGATTTATGCTTTGTCGATCATGATTTATTGATTCATAACTCAATAATCTAAAGCCGTTGGGGAACATACGAGCTCTAATCATGATCATAATTTAATGGTAACATTTTACGGCAAAACCACCCGATCAGAAGGTCTCAACAATAACCATTTACTTGTGGTACTATTTGGTGGAGAAACCAATGATTATAGGATATGTGCCACATCCTTACTGGCAAGAGATGATTTTATAATGAATCATAATAATATTCTCAACCAGACATTCGCATTTTGTGAGCTTAAGTGATTTTTATATTTGTCCACATCGGTAAACTGTTGTGGACGGTGGATGAGAATTTTGCTTTAAGTATATAGATTTTTTATTCCAATTTTAAATATTTCAGGTTTTGGTGACTTTGAAATTTTGAATTTTTATGATCATAATTTAAAATTGCCGACTATGTCAACTTGCAGGGTAAGTTGAACCTTCTCGACTATGTCAACTTGCCAACATAGAATATAATTCGTTGTCTGCTTTATGCTTTTATTAGTATATATATATATATTCAGATACACATTTATACTTTCATCTACATGTTAACATACTCACATATGTACTTGTGTATTTGAATGCATGTATGTATGTGTGTACAACATATTTGCATATTAATGTGATGCGCAACTACAGTTGAATGACATGCTTGAATGATGTATTCTTTCAATTTTAATGCATGTGGGAGGGCATTTTAAAGTGTTTGACACTGATCAACTGTGCGAATTATTATCATTTGAGTGTGCGCAATGTTCTATTTACAGACCTATATGCACCTTATGTCGGCTTTTACTAATCTTACGGATTCGGTGGTGTGGTTTAGCTTATTTTGTTTTCTGCAAGCTGTCATTTTCTTCAATATCAGCTTGCAGTAATGTATTTCTATCAGCGAATATGTTGTACGATGCATCAAGAGTTTTTCACCTATAACATACAGGTGAGCTGATTTATATGATGTGACAACCTGCCATCACAAATTTACTGCCTCATTTTATCAATGGTTCGCAATTTTTACTATTGATTCCATGTTTTTGCTTACAGGTGAATTGTAGTGTTGTTCTAAGTCATGCGCTTCTTTATGAAGGTAGACTATTGTGCACTAACGAATCTCCTGCAGTTACTCGTAGGTACTTGCAATCATTACAAGCTCATTGCTTTTGCAGACAGACAGTGTGTAGTACTTGCTATCATCTTCTTACTTATGCCTGCAGAGAATCCACTACACTTGTGATACATTCATCATCATTGCTTGTGGGTAGGACTGCTGTATGTATTGCAAACCTTCCATTGTCATCTGCGAGCAACTTGCGTCGAATGTAAATCTTCTAATGCTACTCGTAGGTGTTTGCATTTACTACAGTTCTTCTGTATTTTCCCTTGTATGGTATGTTGAGTGTATGCCTGTGTTCGCAGTGGATCCATCATATTTGCAGCGTATCTACCATTATTGCTTGTAAATAGGATCGCTATATGAATTGCATGACTTCCGCCATCACCTCTTTAACTCAGAGGTCAGTTGTTTTCTACATGCTAAATCTCCTACAATTGCTTGTAGTTGCTTGTATTTATTATGGATTCTCGATTATTGCTTATATGTAGTGTGTATATTTGTGTCCACGGGGATTCACCGTTCTCGCGGCATAACCACCGTTGTTATCCACAAATAGATCATATCAGTCGTTATTGCTCAGAGGGGGATGCCCATATTCGTCTGCAAGTGAACTGACATTGATTGCAGGGACGTCGCAACATTTACTGCACAGTCTTCATACTTCGTCCATGAATTGCCACTATCATGCCTTTTCCATCAGCATGAGCATTGTACATCAATCAATTGTCAATCATAGGTGAGTATTGACCTCTGCACATCGAAACCCCACGAAATCGAGCAAATCCCGTGGACCGGACGTCCGTCGTTGCTCACCACACATTGACTACGTTCTCCAAGGATCTTCGCACGTTCCCCTTGATCTCCCCTTTTGCTCGTCATTAAAATGATTAAAAACGAGAGGACACGTTTCTCTGTTCTTCCTGGACTCGAAGTCCTCACGATCGAACAACAACCCTGTGCAACTCTCTTCGTTTGATCTTCAAAAGCCTTCCTCTCGCACCAAACCTCAAACTAAATCGAACACCACAGTCGCAGGCACATATAGCCCCGACAAACACCACCAACCGGCATTCTACCAGAACTCCGCCTCCTCTGCTTCAATCGACCCCATCTAGCCATCCGACACTTTGCCTCATTCGGAGCCTTCACTGTGATGATCCTACCAGAGGCCGCCAAATCCCCCTACCCATCTTCAAGCCGACTGTTGCCACCCACCGAACCCGACAGCCCTCTACCGACCCGAATTCCCCCAATCAGCCTCACGATTGGTCTGATCTTCCTCTTTAAAGCCTGTCATCTCCCAGCCGCACCCTTTTGCCTCTGATTACGACATCCACAACTTGCAAGCCAACTGATTCCCTGTTTCCTCCAACCAAATCTTGACTTTCCCTCACTGCCAAGTGCCTGATCTTTGACATCCAAGTTGCATCTCATGTTACCCATGCTCAATTGAACCCTTCAGCTGTCCGATCTCCAGTCCTAAAATAGGCCCGAACTACAAATCGCGCAACCAACTTCCTCAAACCACAGATCCTACCAACTACTTTCCATCTATCTGGCCAAGTCCACGCAAAAGCCGCAAATCACCAATCGATCAGTACTTCCTCACATCCGATCTCCTGCAAGCTTCACACGATCTGTACTTCCTCACATCCGATCTCCTGCAAGCTTCGCACGATCTATCAATCCCATAGCTTCTAGCCGGCGCCACAGCAAATCCCTCACACTCAAGGAAATCTCTCTCTCTCTCTCTCTTAATTTTTTATTAATACTAATAATATTTATTATTATTATTATTACTATTATTATTATTATTATTATTATTTATTACAAAAAAGAGAAGAAAAATAAAAAATAAAAGAAAAAAAGGAAAATAAAAAAAATAAGAAAATCCAAAATAAGAGTAAAAAAAAAGAGAATCACAAAAAAGTTTTGTGCATTTTGCACATTTTCATTGATCGTTATGCCCTTGGCTGGCATTGTCAACACCGTCACCAGCACCCAATCGCAAAGATATAATCCCAAAACCCTGTCCTCAACACTTGCAGCTCAGCGAGCAACTATGTATGCGCAGTTTTCTTAACGTAGTGAGAGGAAACTCGTCGCGGTGCTTGCGGCGAGGAAGATAAGCCTTCTGCACGCTTTTCTTAGAGTGACAGGGCAACTCTTAAGGACCCTCATACGTGCCTCAGTGCCAGCGGGAAAAGAATTGCGTATTTTCAAATAGGTACCCCTAAAGACCTTTGCACGCCTAACTTGATATGGTGGGATTGAATACTACGGCCATGTTATCATCCGACATCAACCATGCATGTCTTTTGTGGGCTCCGAAAATTCGGCCCCGGCCTCCCCGCCAGCGGGAAAAGAATTGCGTATTTTCAAATAGGTACCCCTAAAGACCTTTGCACGCCTAACTTGATATGGTGGGATTGAATACTACGGCCATGTTATCATCCGACATCAACCATGCATGTCTTTTGTGGGCTCCGAAAATTCGGCCCCGGCCTCCCCGCCGCGCGATTTCTTTTTTATTTCGGCGAGGGAGTTTTAACTGAACTAAGTTCCGGGGTAAATTTTGGAAGGCAGATGGGTTTGTAGATAAGACACTACCCAGAGATTTCGCCCTCATTTTTAGTAAATTAATTATAATTATAATTAAATAATGACTAATTATAATTAATTAAGATTAATTATAATTAATCAGATAATTATAATTTATAATTAATAACTAATAATTAATTAATTATAATTAATTAATTAATTATGTCTATAATTAAAAATAATTAGTAATTATTATAATTAATTAAAAAGAAATTCCATTTTTTTTTTTACAGGATTTGGCCGAGAGAAGCTCGTGAAAGGGAAGAAAGTCACCTTCAAGCCAGCGATCTCCTGTTCTGGCTTCCGATCTAAATGTCTAACTTCCGGTCCGTGACTCCCGATCCAACAGGATGTCGTCGAGGGAGCAAAGTCGATCGGTAGTGAGGGAGGCGAAGAAGCTTCGCTCTCTCCTTTCTCCCTCTCTCTCTCTCTCTCACTCTCTGTTTGTATGGGGAGTCGGCAGAGGCAGACGTCGTCGAAGGAGGGAAGGTGGGTGGAGTTCGCGTGAGAAAGGGGAGCTCGGGATGGGAGAGATCGTCGGGTCGAGGAACCGAGAGCTTCGGTCGAGCGGGATGATGGCTTTGGCTTGGAATTGAGAGGGAGAGTCGTGTGTGGTCGGAGGAGAGGTCGTGAGAGTGGGGGAGTTACGGGAGAAAGCTTGCGGCTTGTGGAGGTTCTGCGATCGAGTGGGGAAGTAGTGTCGAGCAGAGGGGGCTTCGACTCCTATTTAACGATGCGAAGATGGTACGATTCAACGGAACTTCTGCAGGAATCGTGGGAGAAGCGATGCTAGCGGCGCCGAATAGGTACGTATGCGAGATTTCTTGCAGGATTTCGGACAGATATCGTGGATCCCCTGGGTTACAGAAGGTATGCATTCATTTCATTCCCTCTTGGATATTATATGGAGGTTAACATCTTTCTTGACGTGGCAGGAAGGCCTATAACTCCCCAAATTTCTCCTAAATGGAGGCGATGCCTGGGTGCTACCAAAATTCCAACTAACAGAGGACTTGATTGCAACAGAATGAAGGGAACATAATATTAATGAACACAGGGAACAAGACCCTATAATTGAAAATTCACAATAAAAATTGAAATTGCAAATGATAAAGGATATTTCAAATCATTTAAATGAAAGTTAATAAACAAGCAAGAGATTCGTAGTTGGAAATCTTGTGACATGGGCAAATTGCAAACAACATCAATTAATTGCAAGGAACGCAAGCACTTCCTAAATGCAACAGTAAATGACTTGTTATGCAAGCAATAACCAACTTGTAGATTGAAGTAGCGGCACTTATAAGCAATGGTGGATGACCCGTCATAGACCATACAAAAAGTGCAGTACGTAATATGACTAGAGTGAAGAAGTGAAGGTTATAGTGAAGATAACCTGCTTACCACCAACAACTGTTAACTGATAAGCAAGTGCATCAATCCCCTTATTAGTAATCATATCGGATATAGCAATTATCCAATTAATTCGCATAGGGAAGGTCAACAATGAATGCAACGACATTTGGCGGTTAATGTGACATGCTGATGGGTGCACAATCTTTGCAATCTAAAAGTTCTATTTTTTTTTTTTTTTTAAGAAAATTCAAACACAATATGTAATAGCCTTAAATTGCTTTGATGTGGATTATATATGGATGAACATCCAGAGTGCAGATAAGTTACTGGTAAAAAATTTATAAATGATCAACAATAAATATTAATCCACAGAAATCCTCTCAAACTCGTTACCAGTATGCAGCCGCTGAAAGAAGAGCTGAGCGACATCAAAATTTTAGTTGCAATATTCTCAACGAAAGCAAGTACTGTTGACATGTTAACTACAGCTTGTGTCTTGTCCACAATATTTCTCGCCTCGTACCAAACTAGGCAAACAGCAGCACTGAAGATAACATCTAATGGGAGATTAATATCCCGCTCCACAACTTGCACACCTCTCTTTTCAAGTTCCAAAATTTTCTGATAAGAGCTTCTTCTTGATATGATCATATTTTTGTCTATGTTTTGGGTGTTTACAATTATGACTACCTCCGGAACTGAGCTGGCCTTTGCAGTTGTCAAGTTCGAACTTGGCAGATGCAGCATGTTCATGTAATTGTCATTATCATGGGAGGGTTCTATTGTGCATGTAGATTCACATGAATTATTACACGCCTTGTTGAGTGGGAATTGAGTGAGTAATCCTTCGGTGTTCTGATCAGTTAAGCACCCTTGTAGATATGCCATACATCTTGGAAGCGTCTCCTGGTACAAAAAGGATATCAGAGGCCTTAAAGTGATAATGGAAGCCGGAGAAAATATAACTAGTGAAATTCAGCATTATATTATATAGAGTAGAGTTAGGGATAACATGGTCTTTATTCGCAACTCAACAGCATTTAAAAAAAAAGTAAAGCGTTCAAAACAATACCATAATATCGGATAACATGGTCACCATAAACAAGAGCATATTTGGCATGATGTTATGTAAAACTAGAAGGAAATAAACAAGGGAGTATGATGGCAGTTGCATTCTTCAAATAGAGAAATTTAGTTAATAAAACTGCCTTTCCCTTCTTTTAATTTAGCTCCACACGCTAGGACAAAGATGGCAATATGTTACAAAAAACTAGAAAAATTAGAGTGAAGTGATTATCATATCTATATACTAACATACGGCTTCAAAAATATTTAACAAGTAGTCAACGGGTTACAAGGAGAGAACTCACATCCAATAGCCCCATGGAGGAACTTGCCTAAGGAAGAATAGGCCCCTCTCGCCCAAACCTACAAAGGAAGATTTCTCATCTTGGTGGCAATTGAGGACCTCATTGACCAAGTAACATGCAACTCACCCCATGCAAGGAAGGCAGCCATCACAGCGACTCGCCCCCACCTGGGGTGGGTTCCTTCATCCTCGCACATCCCAATCCAACTACAAGAGAGTGCCAACTCAAGGAGCCCTCGGCTCACCCTATCATGACCAACCAACTACTGAGTTCATATTCTCCACAACCTCAGCTCATTCGACTTCTCTTCTAGGAGATCCAAGGCTAAGCATAGGTCCCTAGCGGCTCCCAGACATCACTCAGTCATCAAGCACCACTTCCTCATAACTTGAATGCAAATTTATGCAAAGTTTCCCACACCTACTCAGCATTACCAAGCTCTCCCACACTATAATGCTCGCCTAATGCATACTCAGCACGATTGATCTCGCCCAGAGATAAATTATCATAACTCTACAACCCCAACTCTCCCTCAGTCAATCAAAAGACATGTGTCTAGGATAGTTTGTATAGCGTTGTACTCTTTTACTATTTGGGTGTATTCTTTCTTATAGTCCTTAAAATCCTATAAATAAGAAATGATAAGGAGCATTTTGGTACTTTGAATCCTTAAAAATTATTTTGAATCTCTAAATCGAGAGATTTTTTTTATAATCTCTATATCGAGCTTTTGAGCCCTTTTCTCTAGCTTTTCTCTAGTAAATCTTCTTTCTCTCTATTCCCACACAGGTTCTAGGTCACTCTATGAGTTTGCTTGCTATTAGGGTCAAGCATCATCCACGAATAGATTTGGATTAAACATCCTCTTATTAGATGCAGTAAGCATAGATTGATACAAATGATGAAAAACAGATGCAGCTCAATGAGCCGAGTGCCCCTGAGCCATCAGTAACATGAAAAACAACAACTTCACTACTGGCCGAAACTTTATGGAGATGGAAGAGAGGATAATGAAGATGATCAAAGAAGCCTTGGGTGGGCTTTATGGATGAAGATGTTCTATCTATAGAAAAGTCTTTGCACTTGTATTTCTTATTAACACATTTTGCAACCTCTTGAGATTGTAAATAGAAGAACTCACCCATACAGCTTGCTCGCCCTACATTGAGGAAACTCATTTAAACAGCCAAAAATCCACAAGGATTGCTTGCACTCGCTTAACCGTTGGGCAAATCGCCCCAAAAGTTGGAAAGAAAACTAGATATCCTTAGACACCCGACTTTATAATAACTGAATGTGACTGACTAAAATGACAACCAATCAAGTTCTCATCCATGCTCAAGCTAAAAAGCGTCTCAGACTATTCCCTATAAGAGAGTCAAGGCCCCAAAGCACAAAAACCTATAGGCGAGCCAAAGCCCATTATAGAAGGATAGTTTTTTCTTAGGTGATGTTGCTTTCATTATTCCTTGTTGAGTTACTTTGCAAGTCATGTATAAATCTTATAATTCATTCAGTGACCTAGCTAGACTCATGCAAAAAATAAATAAATATAATTATTAAATTATACAAAATAAAGGAAAATAGAATGGGGGAAATCCAATCCCATAACCAAACCAAAATTATTACAATGCAGCTCAAAAATATTAAAAAAAAAACAACCAGCTCACCCCCATTCATCACAAATACCTTTCATTAAATACCTAGTCAACGAGCTCCTACATCAAATTGCCAAAGCCCTATAAGCCGACTCCCCTCTTTGTGATAAGATCCACAATGAGTAGCACACGAGTCCCCTATAGCCAACAACTCTAAGTTGTTACCCTGATGAAGACTATAAAGTTTGGCATAAGGTGAGGCCCACAAAAGGCGACTTTGAGAAAACAACAACCAACCCTATAGGGAGACTTCTCCTTTTGCGACAATATCCATAATGGTAGTGATGAGGTCATCGACAAGAGATTTCGGCGCGTCTATCAGAGACGACATCGGAGGTCGACGGCCATGATGGAGAGACTCTACTACTGATTCTATTTGCACTAGCATTTTATGTATTATGCACATTTATTTTTCAGTATTCCCATTTTACCCTTGAGGGTATTAATTTGCTTTTGTAGCCCGGAGGGCATTTTAGACTTTGTACTTGTGTCATGTAGAGCCTATTTAAATGGCTCTTGTTTCTTGTATGAGGACTATTGATTGATTAATAAAAATTTTCTATGGTTTGTTCTCTTTGTAAGTTCAAGGAGATCTCTTGGTGAGTTCTTCGCATGAGATTTCTTTGTGAGTTCTCTTAGTTTTTGCATCCAAGGATCTTCCCCTCATCCTCAAGCGCCATCATCCACCACAACACATTGGAAGCAGCCGGCCCCCTGTCCCCCTCTCCATACTCGTCGTCCCCTTGGGATCCCCACCCGTCGGCCATCCCAAAACCCCCACCGGCCGGCCACCTTGCCGCCGGCTTCCCTCCACCACCCTTCCACCACCACCTCTTTCCCTCATAACCTTGCTTGGAATTTGATTTTCAAATTTCAAATTACTTTCCAAATTTGGACGTTCTATTTTAGGAAAATTTTGAAATTTGAATTCAATTTCACATTCATGAAATTGGATTCATGAAACAACAATTTCCTAGTCATCCTCCTAATTTGGAATCCTCCACCTCATCCCTAATTCTCCTCTCCCCTCCTTGATGCCGCCGGCCCCCTTCCTTGGGCCCCCTCTTAATTGCTCAATTAATCTCCACTCCTATTTTGAAATTCAACTTCTAATTTCAAAATAACCCCCTCCGGATTTATTTAAAACTGAAATTATTTCAGTTTTAATTTCAAATCCTATTCCCCTAATCAAGCCGCCGGCCCCCCTTGAGCCTCCCCATTGAGAAAGTTTTAACTCGCCTCCTTAATTTGGGGATTTCAAAATTAAATCCCAAGTTTTCCCTCCCAAACTCTCTAAACTGAAATCAATTTTAGTTTTCCAAAAACTTAACACCCTTTCTCTTCCTAAACCTACCTTCCTGTGCTGATTCCACGGCTTGTGCTGTCCTGGCTGGTTCCGTGGCTTTGTTCACTGGAATGTTTTAAAAGGTGGCTCTTGGGTTTCAGCGGGAATGACTCTTGGCTTTTCATTTCTTCTTGAAAACTTGGGAACTTTGGCTGTTATGTTCCCCCTCTTTGGCCTATATATATGAGGTATTTTGTGAAGAAATGGTTGGTGAATATTTGAGAGCTAAGTGCTTACAAAAACCTGAGGGTTTTCTTCTTTGGAAGAGCTTGAGAGCTTTTTCCATTCTCCTTCTCCCCTAGGAAAGCTTGCGAGCTTCTCCTCTTTCTTCTCGGTCTTCTAACCTCCTTCTTCTCTACGCAAGTTCCACTCCACCTGTATCTTTCTTCTAGTTCCGTTGGTGAAGTTGTTGGCTGTTTTTGGTTGGCTGTTTTTGGTTGGCTGTTTTAGAGAAGCTGTGGGCTGTTTTTGTTGGCTGTTTTAGCAAGGTTGTTGGCTGTTTGGTGAAGTTGTGGACGGTTTTAGTGGTATTTGCTGGAGAAGTTGAAAGGACATTGGATACCCCTAGCTGTGGTGGACCCTTGGTTTGCATATCTAAACCTTATTTTAAATTATATTCCTACAATCGGTACATGTGAGGAGTCCTCTTGAAGGATGTTCTGAGGATAGTTTTTTTTGTTAAAAATATTGTTTCTTTGTTGATCTTCTTTTGTTTTAGTCGTTGGAAGTTGCCTTTTTCTAAAGTTAGTTGTTTTCTCTAACTTATTTTGTTCTCTAAGTTATGTCTTAATTTTATAAAAGTAAGATTTGTTTCTCTTTGTTGATCTCTCTTTGTGCCTTGCTCTAATTTGTTTACATCACCTAAGCAAAGTAAAACTCTACGAATTCGTGTATCCGATTTGGAATTGAAGCATGATATTATGAATGGTTAAGCTTTAATTAATTTCCTTTTCTTTAATCACGTGTAACTCAATTCATGCATCACATCATTTTGGTATCAGAGCCAGGTTACCTGGGGTGCGGACTCGACGGAGTTGAGCTCTTTTTCACCCCGGGAGAATGATGCGGACATCTAACCGTCCATGGCTATCCAAGGAGCTGAAGATCAACGGCTGTCATCGTCCAATATTATCTTATATTTTATTTGTAAATTTTAAATTTTTTATTATGAATTTTCCGTTTTTACCCTCACTTAAGAGGGTCGTCCTATGTAAGCCTTAGGGGCATATGTGTCTTGTTTTAGTTTCTTAGGCCTATATATAGAGGCCCTTTCTTATGTAATGAGATGATGAATTGTTAATGAAAAATTGCTTTTTGCATTCTCTTTGTGAGTTCCATCTTTTAGATCTCTTAGTGAGTTCTTTTTCTTTTGAGATCTCTTAGTGAATTCTCTACTTTGTGTTCTCTTTGTGAGTGCATCCCTCTCCCAAATCTCTTAGTGAGTTTTGGGAAGAGCTAGATCTCTTTGTGAGTTCTAGACCTTCCTCCAAATTTTCTTTGCGATCAATTAGTGTGAGAATTCAAGGAGAATCCATCCGGATCGCATTCTTCGTTGAACCCCATCCCTTCACCCGTTTCCACCCAGCACTTCCGCCGCCCCTCCTCCAACCCGCTCAGGCCGCCGACCTCCAGGCCACTGCCTCCCGCCGGCTAGCCACCTTCGACACCGTGGCCGCCCCTTTCCTCCCTCCTCTAGCCGCCGGCTTCCCTCTCCTTGAATTTCAAATTTTGAAATTCAAATGTTTTATGGACCATTAATTATTTCTTAAAGTAGCTCCTTAATTTACGCCATCAATTTAATTGATTTTAATTTCAAATTTGAAATTCAAATTGCTTAAATTGATTGCCCTCCTAAATGGATGTTTTCTTTTCTTAAGAAAACTGAAAATTTATTTCAGATTTTTATAAAAATCTTAAATTAAATTGGTGGTCCCCACTCATTCCAAAACTTACCCCTCTCCTCCTTATGTGGCCAGCCCCCTCATTAAGCCTCCATAATTACCTCCCACACAATTCCCTCTCATCCAATTTAATTCTCCCCATTAAATTTGAGTTTAAATTCAAATTCATCCCGCCAATTTCACTTAATCTGGAATTTAATTTCAGATTTTCATTCTCTCTCCCCAAATTGATTTGGGATTTAATTAATCTTGCCACCTAGGCAAGTAAATGGCATTTACATTTCACATCAAGTAGTGCTTGAATCTATTACAGTTGGCAAGTCTAGGTGGTTACTCCAGCGAAGGCAAAAAGTTTTGGGTAAGACGTGGACCATCTAAGGCAAGTTTGCACCAAGGTCATATAAGCAATAAGATTATCGTATATAGCTCACAAAGAAAATCAAGTCAACTTGCTCATCTACTTATTTCCAAGCAAATCGGATCTTACAATATCAATCATATCCTTCAGCCGAGTCCAAGACTTGGGTTATTTTATCAAGGTTATGTTCATTCTCACAATACACAAACTTAATAGGTATGTTTGTTTCAATGTCAAGCTAACTCACTACATTGACGAGTTCACCATAATAATGATTCAAATGAAGAACCCCTTAGTGATGACAGTGCTGATGACTTATGAGTTTTTATGTGATATGTCATTGCTATTTATTTTTGGAAATTGTAATTATATGTTAATGAAAAGAATAATGGGATTTGGGAAAGATAGAATTTTGAGTTGAACTATATTTCATGTGGTCTTATTATTGGGATATTTTGATTTCACTTCATATCTTATGCTTTTTTATGTTTTATATTATTCACTCATTAGTATATAAAAAATTTATCATTTTATGTTTACGCAATCTTTTGATTTTGAGGCTTACGCCTCAAAACGCCTTGAGGTTTACGCCTCGCCTCACGAATGAAAAACGCCTCAATACCCGAATACGCAATTTTAAACGTTGGGTATAAGCAATCATTCACACCGAGTTAAGGTGAGTTAATCCTCCATGTAAACCCAGAATCAATTATTAAAAAAAAGGTTAGAGCCATTTTCTATATTATGTTGAGCATTGGTATAAATAATTCTTATTGTTAAAAGTTTAAGATTCTTGTTATTATACTAAGTTCAAATACATTCACCCTAAACAACCAACATTTCACTCATTCTAGAGACAAGCTCATGTTTGGTGAGCTACGCCTTTCTTACTATCAAGTTTCATTTGTCATTTCTGTTTAGAAATTCATTTCATTAAATCGCCAAGTTTGTCATTCTACTATGAGCACTAGCAGTGATAGGTCAAAATTTGTCATTTTTGCCAAGTTTGTCATTCTACTTGGAATATTTTTTAGAAAATATTTTATATTCTTATATGGGTGAGTACCCTTACATATTATTATTGTTACTTTATATTTATATATGGATGAGTGCCCTAGCATATCACTCTCGTTCTATATGAGTGAGTGCCCTTGCTTGCTGCTCTTCTGACATTGATGACCATACTAAATACTCACAACATTCAAAGAAATAAAAAGCATAAAATCAAAGACAATAAGGTCGCACAAATAGAAAATTTTATTAATAAGTAAACATTTTACATTAACTCGACACATAATACATTACAAAACACTAATAAATAAAAGGTGGTACGAAACTACTCACAGCCACGAAAATCTCTACATACCGAGTTACTCGCCATCTCACGCGATAGTGCCCCTAGGCCTTTTAAATAGTCCCAATCAAATCTCCCTCCAACAGTGAAGCCAATTATCCTCACTTGGTTGAAGGTTTCCCTCATCCATACCTACAATGTCGCAACCTCCTTCCTCATCTCCGCAACTTCGACCAAGGTCATACCTTAATGTGAGCTAACAGCCTGGCCCGGTTCATCATCTTTTCCAAGATGACAAGTTGCTCTACTACCTCCTCCAGTGTGACTAACCCTGAGGAGGGATGACATCGGCAAAGCAAGAAAAGGACAACGACCACCAAGGCTTCTCATTCAGGGCCATGTAAGTGTACTCCTCCGCTGCTGCCCAATATTTTTGGTAGCCAAACATCCGGCCTACTTGCTGGCCCCAATGTAGATTAAGAGGCATGCCTTCTTCGAAGAGAATCCGACCCTCTCAAGAGCCACAATGCTGCCTCTAACAATGGCAAGATCGAATAGTATCAATTGCTACAATCAACAAGTCAGCAGTCTCAATCGTCACCACAGAGTCAATTCTAATTCTCTTTGCAGAGGGCGTCAATGATTTTAGGGACCAGCATCTCCACCATCAACTTTCTAACTAGGCGAGGGTTCATTATTCATCTTCTCTAATCTATTAGCCTTGCTCGTACAAAAGGGGACCTTATTAGACACCTTCGTTCTAGACATAACTAACTCAACTAGGTTCATATCTAAACACTCGCAAGTTCTAAAGTCAATGAGGGAAAAGAGTAATGTTCCTTCAATGCAAAGCCTCTATTTATAAAGAGGCTATGAAGAAGGTGGTGTCACATCATTAATGAGGAATTTACACAACGGTCAAGGATACAATAAAAACAAGACTATAACTTTGCATTTACTTCCGTGTGACTTGTTCGAAACTCGTAACTTAAATTTGGAAGGTCACCCCTATCAAAGGTAATTTAGGACATCATTGACCAAGTAACTTAAATTTGGAAGGTCACCCCTATCAAAGGTAATTTAGGACATCATTGACCAAGTAACTCATCTCTTGCCCCTTGAAAGGAAGTTAACCATCACAGCGAATTGCCCCAGCTCAAGTTGGGAACCTTCAGCCCAACTACAAGAAAGCTTACTCAGGGAACCCTCAGCTTGCCTTGACATGACCAACTGACTACAGAGTTCATCTTCTCCACAACCTCAGCTCATTATCCTTCTCTTTTAAATGATCGAAGGCTCAGTATAGGTCACCAGCGGCTTCCAAATAGCAATCAGTCATTAAGCGCCCCTTCCTTCGAACTCGCAATGCACACAGTCTTGCCCATAACTACTTAACACTACTGAGCTCACCCATAGTACGGAGCTTACTTAATGCAGACTCGGCACTACCAAGCTAACCTCGAGATAGATTATCAAAACTCTATGGCCCCTGCTCTACCTCAGCCAATTAAAAGGACATATGTGTCTAGGGTAGTCTGTGTAGAGTTCTACTTCTTTATTTTTTAGAATGTAGCCTTTTCCTCAAAACTTTAGAAGGGGTAATGAGGAGCATTTTGGCACTTTGGATCCTTTAAAATCTTTTTAAATCTCTTGTATCTAGAGTTTTTTTTGCTAATATTTATAATGAATATTTGAGCACTTTCCTCTAGCTTCTCTCTAGCATATTTTCTTCCTCTCCATTGTCATATAGATTCTAGGTCATTGCTCTAAAGTTTTGCCAGTTAGTAGTGTCAGGTGACATCCTAAGACAGATTTGGATCCAACAATAACCATCTAAAAAAAATCTTTCATAACAAATTGCATTTCTCTATCCCTCCTAGTTTGGATGTATTTTCCTGCATCTCCGTCTACAAATCTGTTGTTAAAAGAAGGCAAAGCTATGAAATATTTCATCTTCATGCCAATAGTTAGAAATTTTTCCCATATATTTTAAAGCTTCCAAAAAGTAGCTTCTGTATAGTTTGATTAGGTTTGTTAATTTTTAATTTATCACTGTGAAATAGATCACAATTTTGCATCAACTTGGATTGGATTGCCACCCCTCTCAGTCTCCAAGAATCCCAAGCAAATTAGAGGCTTAATTCAACAATGGATGACTGATGGATGAATGTGAAGTGGACAAATCATCAGCCAAGAAGGTAGAAAATTACTTTGAAATAAGGTTCTTCGAGGAACATTCGGTATAACATAAAATAGGACTAGTGATCTCAGTACATCTGATACCATTGCATATAAATCTTTTAGTTTATTTGAGCAATAGGTATAGGCATTAGCAAGTGAACTTCAAGAGTTATAATATCTTCCAATACACAAAAATGTAACGATTATGAAGGGAAACAAGTGCCAAAACTTTCCAACGTACGTTAAAACAACAGATGCAAGCCTTATTTTAATACCGAACTACAATAACACATAATCAAATGCCAGATCCATCTATAAGATGAATAAGGTATCAGAAAAACAAGCACAATCTAGTACAGAAGGCTTCAAATTTTGCTTGAATAAGAAAATGTTAATATCATCATGCATCAAGTAAATACCGGGGAAATCAAGGAATTCTTTGAGGCTTCAAAGCCTTCACAAAGTGCCTTTGCAAGATAATGATTCTCCAGATCAAATCTGATAAAGTGAACACAAGGAAAACTACCTAAACAAGGAAATATCTCAGGCATTATAGATGTAGCACGTGGTCCGCCATATTCCAAGATGTTGCTAAACATGTTGAATGGAAAATGAGCTGAAATGTTCCTGAAAGGAGAAACTAAGATTAAAAGTAAGAATATCTAATAACTACTTAACAACTTATGAGCTTATGAAAGTTATGCAGCTAATGAAAATCCCAAGTGGCGGCTAACATGCAGAATAAGGTTATAGTCATAAAAATAAAGCACTGTACTTAGTATATGGAAGTAAAGAATAAAATAGAATAGTTATCGTATTGACAACATATGTGTGCTTGAAGCAGCTTCGCCTACAGTCAGGACCAGAATGTAAACACATGTGCACATAAATATAAACATTGTAACTGAACATTAAAAATTTGCAAATACAGAATAAAAATTGAACTGGAAGATTATCTATGCATATTATGAGGCTGAAAGGATCACCAAAATAAATCTATAAGTCTATTGTGATAACCAAATACTAAAGATAGTATGATACAGCACCCAGTTAAGTTTGTAATTAAAAAGTGAAGCAAAGGAAATATGGATCTATGGATTAGAATATTTATAAGGTGCACGAGATATGTACGCCTCAAAAATGCTGGTTATTTGGACATAGTTACCAATATCCCAATTGTTGCGTGTTTGAACATGCTCAACAATATCGATAGAGAGTTTATCATCTCAGCAGTATAAAAAAAATTTACTGAAATGTAGATAAGATAAGTTGAGAATAACTAATAAGAGACATAAGACGGTTTATGTTGAAAACCCGAAAGAGGAAACAATCATGTGACTTGTCCTAGTTGAAATTATTCTACTAGTGTGAGCCATATATTACAAATGGAGTCATTCCTTATAGCTAGAGAAGGCATTAAATATAATGTAGTGGATATGAAGTATAAAAGATGGCTTTCACGGTGAATGTAAAAGGAGCCTTCAGGTATTAGAGTGGTCACCAAGACAAATTTTGTGGCAAGTTCACTCGTTCTCTTCATTGGAGGGGGGATCAAATACCAAGAAGGTATGATTAAACCTTAGCAATAATAACAGATGCCAACATTGATATCGATGAAAGGCATCAACATTATTCCACTACAGGAAAATTACAAATTACATGAGAAATTTGCAGCGGAATTTTATGCCAAAAATTCTGGAGAAATATTTCCGTCGGATTTCTGATGGATTATTTCCAATGAAATTCCGATGGATTTCAGGCACATTTCTGACATAATGTAAAATTTTCTAAATCATGCAAATTAAATTAAATAAATTAAATATGTTAAATTAAATTAAATAAATAGTTTTAATAATTATTGTTAATTTAAATTAACTAATTTAATAAATATTGTTAAATAGTTTCAAAAATAAATATTGTTAAATTAAATAAACTAATTTAAATTTTTATTATCAAATTAAATTAAATTAACTAAACTATATATTGTTAAATTAAATTAAATTAATATTATTATATTAAATTAACTAAGTTAATAATTTATTACCACATTAAATTAAATTAAATTAATTAAATAAATTAAAAAATTGTTAAATTAAATTAAATAAATAGCTTTAATAATTATTGTTAAGTTAAATTCACTAATTTAAATTAAATAAATAGTTTTAATAATTCTGGTTAAGTTAGAAAACAGTGAGAATTTTAGTCCCACGCCATTGAGTGACTTGACTTTATTTTATAAAAGTAATAGTATGCAAGAAATGCTTAACATAGCGAGCAGTTGGCAGCGCGACAACGGGCAGGGCAGTTTGGATTGTGGATTGGAGATCATAATGAGACTGCGGGTGAGGGAGATCCCAACGAACAACAAGATTATGCCAAATATTTGTTTTTTGATAAATTATCAAAAGGATTTCCGACAAAAATGTCTGCCGAAAACATTTCGGTGCATTTTTTCGTCATAAATCTGCCCCAAAAAAAAATTAGTGGATTTTTTTCTGGTAATTATTTTTTTACGTGTTTTACGGGCAGAAAATTATTTGTCAAAAATATATTTTCCGTTGGAATTTTGCTATTTTTGGATGAAAAATTCTATCGAAAATAAGTCATTTTCTAGTAGTGTTGGTAAAGGTGAGCAGTAGCATAGTATCAATCATGCTAGAAATTCCAGTGTTGATCATGTTAGCAATGGCAGGCAGCAACCCTACTAGCTATAGTAGGTGTCAGTGTTATTTGCAATGGCGGGCCCCAACTTTATTGACAATGTTGGGGTGTTCAAAAACGGATGTCAATTTTCATGCCAATGGCGGGGATTAGCAAAATTAGCAATGGCAAACATTAGCTTTGTTGGCAACAATAGACAGTGTCCATGTTAGCAAGAGGGGTGGTAGCTGTGTAGGCGATAGTAAGCATCATTTGTGGTAGCGATGGCAAGCGTCTGATGATTTTAGTGACAACAGATCTTGATATTTTGGCGAATGTGAGTTTTGATATTATTGGCAAATTGGGAGAGTCAGCCTTCGCATGTTGATGAGCATCAATATTGTTGGCGAGGGTAGGTATCAACCTTTTTGGTAACATCAGGCGTAGATCTTGTTGGCGATGGTAGGTGTGCCTTATTTTTTTACAGTGGGCATCATCCTTAGTAGCAATAATGGGTGTATTCCTTGCTAGCAATGAAAATAAATTATTCAAATAATATTGAGTGCTAGCAAGTAGGGATCTACATTCTCTTCTCTAAAATCCTTCTTGGGGTCTAATCCCAGCATTCTCAGTGTGCAAAAATGGAGGTCAATTTGATCATTTCGACCATAATCAAAACACTCAATTGGACGGTTTGTTTTAGTATCCCTAGTTATATACTATTTTGTAAGAAGATTAATTCCTTAGAGATAACATAATAAAGAGATCTTGGGCTCATCCAATTTGTTTCATGAAGATGATCATTTTGATTATTAGCTCATCAAAATTAGATGTCCTTTATTACCTTTAACAGTTTCATGAAGTTTCTAACAAGCATCCTCAAGTGCTTGGTTAAGTACATTTAGATTTAAATCATGGCATCTTTGGTATCTTTGGGTTTTTCTCATCGAGACACTTATTTCGACTACCAATGTAACAACCCAAAAATATGAAAAGCATTTTAAATGAAAATTATGAATTTTTGAATTGTTGATTGAACTATAGCGCTTCGACGTTGTACATGTGAGCACTAAGGCGCTAGAGTTGAGAGCAATGCAGCACTAAAAACCCCCTCCGCGGCACTGGTGTCTCTGTTCTATAGTAATTCTGATTTATGCATGCTACGTTACAGCGCTAGGCGTTAGGCAACTAAAAATACTTTTTTAATATTTTTTCCCTTAAATCCCCACAGCTACCTCACTCCCTCACTAAATTTATGCACTAATCTCCCCTGATAATGATTACTGAATATGGATACTGATCACTGTTACTGCTTACCGTTACTAAATATGGATACTCATACTACTATATTATATAATTGATAGACAAACGAGAATGATTAAATGATATTACTGAATTAAATTGATTGTATGATAAAAACAAAATGATTGATTGATACAAGTGATCGATATAGATTTCTTTATATAATTTAAAGTGTATTGTTTCTATTTTGCCTTGTATTGATTTAAGTTACTTGTTGGGCTATTCACTTATTATGTGGTTTAAATAACTTCAAGTAAAGAGCCTTCGGCTTGAGGCAAAGTTGAGATGCTAGTGTAGTTTTTATTTCAGCTCTCTGGTATATATATTCTTTTGTAGCGTATGAAGACTATTGTATGTACTGTTTTGATTTATTATCGACATGATGTAAATATTAACTATTATAGTAATGTGAATTATATTTTTCAATGTTCATATTTCTTTAATGTAAATAATTAGCTCTGGATGTTAAATTGAGCTAGTTGTAAAGGACTATTGGTTGTTATTGAAAAATAAGAAATTAATAAATGAAAAGAGAAAAAAATAAGAGAAGAAAATTCTTTCACTTCAGATCTTGCGGCGTGACAATCAATGTGCTAAAAATAATAATATGGTCTCGAGGATAATTCCAAAAGTTTCTAGCATAAATATTTAGGTGCTTTGACGCCTGCAAATTTGCATCAAGATCCATCTTTGATCCTATATAGAGGGATAAAGGCTTGATGTTGTTGCTGCTATTGTTGTATTTATCTTTGATCAAATGGACTTTTTGTTGATATATCACTAATTATTTGGTATCAGATTACATAACCCTACTCCGCATTTCATTTGTGCTAATTTATGTAAATATTGTTTTATTAATATTTATCTTTATATTTAGGATATCTTTCTATCATTTTATTCAATATGAGTGCATCTTCTGCTCTTTTTCATATATGCCTAAAAATCATAGTTTCTTCAATAAATACCTTTTAATAATGTTTAACTCCAACTCTGCAGCAATCACTTAGCAATTAATGCTTCCTAGCTTTACTACAAGTCCATCCTTAAATCATATTTTTTCCACGACATGCTTAGGTATGCATGACTTAATTATTATCTATGATGTACCGACACTTCTACTCAAAGAGGCGTGCAATGTCTGATACGTATCTGACACGACACGAGTCTGACATGCCTCCGACATGTGACAGACACGCCGAAAACGTGTCTGATTTAAAAATAATTAAATACAAATTGGGCATGGGTGTCTTAAATATTCGAAGTTTAACATCGTTACAACATTGATATTTCAAAATCATCTCAATATCAAAGTCTAACACTGTCTTGACATGGATGCTCGACACTAGTAATTTCTACACCCACAACTTGACAGCTAATCTTTGTCTGATATCTTGTTAACATCGACAACCAACTCCCTCTCAACATCGACGACAGACACTCTCTTAACATAAAAGCCCAATACTTGTTGAACAACAGCATTGTCGTTTCCTCTCTCAATGCTTGATACACAACATCGATGCCCGACTCTTGATATCCTAATATTAATCATTTTATTATTAAATTATAATTAAATGACTTATTATTTTAATTTATTTTAATATTATATTTATTCAATTCTTGTACATTATTTTAAAATATAAAAATTATAATATCTTTGTAACGCCCCAAGATCTAACTTGGAAAGA